AAAGTCATAACAAATAAGAATTTCTCACTAAAATAATTGTAAAATTTAAATATGTTCGGTCTTTTTCATGGGCTAAGACATGTGAAGTGTCATGGACGGGGTTCTTCTCCTCTGCCATAAACAACTGGGCGATGTCTCCTCTTCAAGCATCGACTCGGCCCCGACCATGCTCTTCTGTTTGACTTCTACCCCATTGCTCGTCGACCTGTTTCAAAAGACGCAAGAAATATCAACAGGCTTTGAAACTTCATGGGTCACAGGAGGGGGACATACCTTGTCTCGGAGAGCGCCTTCTTCGCGAGGAAGCGGACAGGCGCCTCAACTGCGAAATACAGCCAAACACTGGGCACGAAAGAAATGATGAGATCGGTCAGCGCGCTCCTCACGACCGTGAGCACCGTGACGTGCTGTGGGGTGCGCTCCGCGCCGCCCTGCATGAGCTGCACCGCGAAGTGCACCAGGTACACGCCGTAGGAGAGGCGGCTCAGCGTCACCAGCGGCTGCCAGCGGAGAAACCGCGCCATCGCACCTGCGGGTGGGACAAGAAGATTGGCTCCAGTCTAGCAGTGCGGAATAGGAGGGGCTCCGGATCGGCTCCGGGACGGACACGACATACTCACCCTCCTCGCCGAGAACGACGCCCACGATTAGCGCGCCCAGTGCGGCCGTCCACAGCACCGGGGACAAGCTGGCGTACAGGGCGGAAACTAGGGCGCCCGGTGGCTGTGAAAGATCGCCGAACGCGACGCTTGACTCGAGCACCGCGAACATGGCAAGCAGGCCGCCCCAGGAAAGCCACGCCGTCCGGGTCGGCCCCAGCTCGACGCCCCGCTCCTGTAACACAAACAAAACGAGGGTTGGGGTAGATAGCTCACGTGGCGGGGACTATACGGGGGTAGGTCGGAAAGCTTATTGTCACTATACCTTGATCCGCAGCATGAGGCAACCCGCGATGACGCCCACCACGTAGGGAGCAGCCCGCATGTGCGTGGCCACGTACATGGGGTAGAACAGCGGCTCGGCGAAGGGGTTCTGGAGCGCGCGCCCGGACCACATCATCATGGGCGGCCAGCCGTAGGCGAGCGCGGCAGCGAACGGCGGCAGCGCGGCCAGCGCCAGCGCCGACCACAGCCTGGCGGGCGACGGCAGCGCGCCGGCCAGCGACAGCGCGAGGGACCCCAGCACGAACTGCTGCATGTCCACGGCCAGCGACCACGACTGCAGCATGCACTGCAAACAGGACCGCCGTGAGTTCCACGACACGCCATCCGGGTACGGCTTCCCACGACGGGCACCCTCATACGCACCCCGTACTCGCCCGGCGGCCCGTGCACGTAGTTGTTGACGTAGAGAAGATTGGTCCACCACCAGCGCCGGCAGGCCGTCTCCTCTGGGATCGTCGTCGCCTTCCACAGCGGTCCAGAGCCCATCGACCGCATCGCCACGGCGTAGAACAGCATCACCATCGCGTAGGGCGGCGTCAGCCTGCCGCAAAAGCACCAGGCGTAAGCTGGGAGGGTGGCGGCGCGGCGGCAGAGGCGCGCGGCAAGCGCGGCGGCCGGCCGCGCCGCGTCAGCCTCGAGGCTCCAGACACACCGTCCGCCTGAGCACGCGCGCATAGGCAGCCCGCTGCGCCGCGGTGCGGGAGGCGGCGGCGCGCTGCCTGCCTGCCGGGCGCTCTCCCTCCCCTCCTCCCCCTCCCCGGCCAAGCGCGGCGCGGCGCGAAATGACAAGGAAGAGCAGCACCAAGCTTGCGTCACACCGTGCCAAACCAACCCATGTTTG